TATATATATAATATATTATATATTATTTATATATATATATATTTATATATATATTATATATATTTATATATATTTTATAATATATTTATATATCTATATATTTATATATATATTATATATATATTTATATATATATTCATATATATAATATATTATATATATTATATATATTATATATATATATATATTATTTAATATATATATATAATATATATATATATATATATATATATATATTTATATATATAATATATATATATATATATATATATATATATATATATCATTTATTAGTTTTAATATCATATGTTACAATGGATATTTTTTAATGTGACATGCTGTCTGTTTTATTTTTTTCTAAATCCATGTGTATGGAGTGGCTGGGGTTAGCATCCACTGGTAGTGCATAGGCCAGCAAGATTTCTAGACAAGCATGTTACCATTACACTACTCAAACTACTTACCTGACAAAATTCACGCAATTTTAAAGCATCTGCCATTTGCTCGTCTATCCTCTCTTGTCGACTGCTGTTTGATGGGTGTGTTGACAAAAATGCTGGGACAGAGTCTGTTTCCATGCCTGCCTGATTTCGTATTTTTTCTTGTAAACATAATTTACCCCAAAATGCACTTGCTTCTCTAACATCATAGCAAGCCTGAAACATACTTTTTGTGAGGAACTATGTATAAGTAATATATTCATGGATATTTTAAGCAAATTGTACATGCTGAACAGGTATAAAAATCTAATTCTAAAACTAAATAAACAAACAAAAACAAAAAATATAATTCAGAACAATGGAAGCCAAAAAGGAAAGAAAGAAAGAGAGGAAGAGAAAGAACAACAAGATGACAAAAAAGAAAAGAAAAAGAAAAGGCAGAAATTAAAACAGGAATAGGATAAGAAAATAAAAGAAAATGAAAAACAAAAAGAAAAAGGGTGTGGAGAATAATAATGAAAATGTGGAGGAGATGGGGTAGAAGGAAAAGAAGAAGAAGGATGAGGAGGAAAGGAAGAAAACAGCAGCCTTACCTTTGCAGCTAACTGCAACCCAACTGAATCTGCTTCATCTTCTATTTTTCTTGAGTAAGGCAACTTCAGAAGCACTTCAACAACTCTAAGAAGAAACCAGTGAGTGACAGCAGCAATGCCATCACTTGGTAAAAAGGCCCAAATGATGGCCAAAGGCAACAGAATTAGGATGTCAAGAAGATACCCATGACTTAGCTGTTCAGCCTGCAATGTAAAGTATGCATGTATAAGTAATAATGTTGTTATAAATGACAAATTACTGCATTAACACCACAAGTAGCCCTAGAAACTTACAGCATGTTCAAGTATAGCGTGACTCATCTCATGTGCAAGAATTGTAGCTAACTGGTCATCATTCTCAAAGAAGTCCATCATTCCCCGGAACAT